GGTGTGGGGGGGGAGGCAGTGTGTTGGGAGAGGCAGTGTGGGGAAGTCAGGGCGGGCGGGCCGGGCACCTCACCCTGGGGCTCTCCCCGGTTCCATCGGGCAGCGTCTAGGAAGCTGCTCAGTCCTTTCTTGGTCTTGGTGGGCTCATCTGAGCGCCGGTTTTCCTTCACCTGCGAGAGGCGGGGGAGGGCAGAGGGCTGGTATCTCTGAGCCACTCACATAGAGGAGCTGGGCAGGGGCAGTCATGAGGCTCCCATGGGCTCTCTGGGGAGGAAAGGTCCAGGTTTGAGCGCTCAGGGAAGCACCTTTTTCCGGAAGAAATTCCTCCCCGTCTTCTTGTCTCCGCTCTTGGTCCGCACCCCGAGGTGGCGCATGTACAGGCTGATGGCGCTGACCACGGCGGCACTGTGGGGAGGGGACAGTAAGGACCCCACACGCTGACCTGCATACTGCGCCCCCACAGCCTGACCCTCTGAGTTCGCTTCCCACCCCAACCCCACACCACTTCCTGCTGCACATCTCAGGAAGGGGCGAGGGCTCCAGGGGACAGGACCAGAGATGTGGCTGAACTCGGACCCCACGCCCCAGCCTCCTCCCTGGGGCCCAGGAGACTAAAACGCCTGTCTTGCTGTCCTCTGCCTCCATCACCTCTTTTCTTCATCGGTAGAGATGGTATGTCTGTGAGGAAGGAAAAGAGAGACAAGCTTGCTAAACCTGGGGTCCCTATCCACCCAGCACAAATGTCCAGTGGCTATCCCCCTGAAGCTGGGACAGGACAGTGGAGCGGCAGAGAGGGCGCTGCCGAAGCAACGGGGAAGGAGAGAGATGATCTCATCCGGGTGCAGCCAAGGACAGGAGTGACAAGGACGAGACCCAAGTGCCAGGCCTGAGTAGAGGCCTTGGACAGGCCTGGAAACTGGGAGACCCCACCGCTAGGAAGAGAAGCTGAAAAACCAGATGAACTAAAATGCCAGGGCCATGGGACCCAGAAGTCAAGGGAAGATGCTAAGAAATGACTGTGGAGCTGCAGAGGGAGCCCTGAAATGGATGGGGCAGCTGGCGAGGGGCTGGCCCACTCACTGCATCTCCTCCAAGTGGGCCAGCAGCCGCTCCGCCACCAGCCGCTCCCGGGCCTCGAAGGTGGCGTGATCCCGCTCCACCCAGGCCTCCAGCTGGGTCAGCTCCTGCTCCCAGGGCGTCATGCCCATGAGCCGCTTGGATCGGAAGTCCTCCAGCTGCCGGCTGATGGCTGCCTGCTGGCTCTGCACCACCTCCTGCACGAACTGCCGCTGGCTGTCCTCAGAGATGAGGTCAGGCCGCGTGCGGTCTGCAGGGATAGGGGTGAGGCTGGGGGTCGTTTCCCGGGCCCTGGTTCCCCACCCACCCTCGGACTCCAGCCGGCATGCTTCCCTGGGCTGCTGCTTCAGGAGGAGGAGAACTGAATCTCCACTGACCCAGAGCACGGTGTGTGGCCTCCGCCCAGGGCCTCCCATGAGGCCTGGCGCCCGCTAGACCCCCTCCCTCATCCCAAAGTCCCCTCTCCTCTCCTTACCAAGTTCAAAGGCGACAGCGGAAGGGACAGACACCCGCAGAACCTGCTCAGGAGAGAGGATGGAGTGAAGGGGAGGGCTGGGCAGGGATGGGATGGCAGCCTAGGTGCCCCGAGGGATGGTGGTCTGAGGAGGAGCGGCAGGAGGAGGGCCAGGCTGGCCCAGGGGCTCCCTGCCCAGGCTGTCCTTCCCGTCGCCCTCCGCAGGACGGGGGTGGGCGGCAGAGGGGACGGGCCCCCGGAGGTGTCTCACCGCGGTCTTCTCCAGGAAGCTGTGGTAGAAGTCGAGGAAGGCCTTCTTGGCCTCCTTAGGGCCCAGAGAGCCCAGCAGGTCCGCGTGCAGGCAGCAGAGCTGGGGAGACAGAGGTGACCTGTGCTCCCTCCCGGCCACCCGAACCGCAGCTCCGCTTGGAAAACCGCGGGGCTCACGTCCTCTCGAAGTGTGCTCCCTGATCTCCACAGCGCCCCCAGGCCAGGCCTGCCTCCCTGGGGCCTCCCTGAGCACCTGGTAATTTCTCTCCTGTGGAATGGCTCTCTGTGGCTCTGCCTGCCCGCTGCTGCCACGACTGCCCGACACCTTCTAAACCCTTTATAAACACAAACCTGTTGGCTCATAGGGATGTCGTTATCCCATCTCACAGATGAGAGAGCTGAGCTCAAGTTTACTGACGCTCACAAGCCAGCACGTGGCAAAGCTGGGGCTGGAACCCAGGCAGCCTACCTCCCTAGACTCCACTGCCTAGAGTTGCTGTGAGCGACTTGAGGGTTAGTGAGGCAGGGGTGTAGGTGCTGATTCACCTGGGTCTCAGGCAGGCCCCGCTGAGGGGGGCTCACTTATTCATTCATGCAGCGCCTCCCGGGACCGCCCTGTGCTGGGAGACGCTGGCAATGCAGTGGGGACTCCAACCTGTCCTGACTCCTGGGGGGCTCTCGTCTCAGTGCGCTACGGACTCAGCCCACTGGGGGGTGGGACTCCATAAACACTTTCAACAAATATATCACCCCCCACCCCAACCCAAGGCAAAAACTCCATGAAAGGCCACTGGGAAGCAGCCCGGGACCACAACGATCCCTCCGCTGCTCCTCCAGCCGGCGAAGTGAGGGAACGGCATGAGGACAAGACTCAAAATGCCGAGGCCTCTGGGTCACCTCAGCCAAGCCCTGGCCCTCAGGCCGCGGGTTCTACTCTGTGGAAGGACATGGCTGAGTCCCCGGCGCTCAGTTCTAGACACCCCAGGCTCAGGAGGCCGGAACCTCCATGCACCAGGCGAGGTCTGCACTTTTCTGGAGAGGAGGCAACTTCCTAATCTCCTCTTCTGGAGGGACCTGCTGGGCATTTCCAGTCCAGCCCAGTGCCCTGGGTTAACCCTGCTCTCGGCCCGTGCGGGGCTGCACTGGGTCCTCCTGGGAGGGGCCGCTGTCCACAGAGCTTCTTCCTTCCTACATCGCCCGCGGGGTCCTCTGGACTCCCAGGTGCCTTGCACAGCATGGCTCTGCACCTGCAGCTCGCAGGCGTTTCCGACACAGGTTTCTGGATCGCCAATTATCTGCCTCGAGGGCTGCTTGTGGTGGTTGCTTGTTTCTGAATCAAGGCTGGTGCACCACCTGGATCTGAGGAGGCTGATGATGCGCCAGCCCGCGGTGACTTGACTGGAGGCACCTCCACGGCCACGGAGAGGAGGGTTCAATTTCTGGAGTCCATGGGGAAGTCCGCAGGGATGGGTGACACGGCCACAGGCACAGGAGGGGATGGCACGGCTTCTCCCCGGCTCCGGGATTCTGTTGCTCTCTCATGGCCCTGCTGTGTGTGCTCTCCCAGCCGGCACTCCAAGCTCACTGAGATTCCTACGGAACCTGCAATCTTGTCTGGACCACACGGTGGTCCCTCGGGCTCCCTAGTTCTAGATCTGCTTTCTGGATCTATTTTCTAGACCCTCCTGGCTCATCTTCACTGGCCTAACCCACTGACCACTCTGGCCTGGCCTGGCCCACCCTGCCTGTGCCTACCCAGCCCCATCCTCACCAGGGGTCCTGGCTCGAACTGCAGGGCCACGTGCTGCAGGAGGGCCATCAGGTGGGCTGGACGCCGCTTCACCTGCTCCAGGCTCTGGAACTGGCTGTTTTGCTCCTCTGGGTTCTGAGGGTGGGAATGGGGGTGAGACTGTGGGGAGAAGGGGGGCCTTGGGCTTGACCCTGCCCCTTCCCTGGCACTTCCTGATGGATCCAAGCTGGGAGGAGGTGTCTATGCTGTAGAGGTGGCAGCAAGGCAGGTGAGAGATGAAGACATACATTACAAGAGATGGGAAGGGGATCTCTGCTGTAACTGGGGAGCAGCGATAAAAATCGGGGTTAGAGTAAAAAAGGGTGGGATCAAGAATGGGATGGGGAGACGAGGAAGGAGGCACCACGAAGACGAGAGAGAAGGGCTTTGAGAGGCTGCAGCGGGACAGCATCTGAGGACAGAGAACTGGACCTGAGGTGGGAGGGGACACTGAGGATGGGACTTGAGGGGCGGGGCCCCCAGGGACAGAAGCTTTCCCGCTCCAACTCCTCACCGCCTCCAGTTCGTTCTCAAAATCCTCGTCCTCGGCCCCAATGATGCTGACGGGCACCAAGCCAGGCCGGGGGGGCCCTGGGGCCTGTGGAAGAGAAGGGTTGGCTTCAGCCCACAGTGCTCCCCACTCACAGCCCCCCAACCTCCTCACCCCTTGGCTCTTTCCACTCACCGCCCCTCGGACCAGGACGCTGTCTGCCTCCATGGGCTCTGCAGGGCTGGGGGAAGAGGAGGAGCGTGGTTAGGCGATGGGAGGAGATGGCACAGGAGGTTACTCACAGATTCCTGGCCCAGGTGTGAAGGTGAGTAAACAGCCTTTCCCCATCTGGGCCTCCACAGCTCAATGGGGCCTCTGTGTGGCGACAAAGAGCCCTTCAGAGGCCAGCCAGGGCGGGGAGCCCAAGGACAGGGAGACTTGCTGGGGGAGAAGCTGGAGTCCCAGGAGCCTGGGTCCATGAGAGCTGTGGCCGTGAGAGCCTGCAAATTTGGGGTCCCTAATGCAGGAGGGGGCTGGAGCTCAGACTCTGGGATCTGAGGGAGGAGGAGCTGGGGGCCTGGACTCTTGGGTCTGAAGAGGAGGGGCTGGGGGCTGGGCCCTGGGGAGGCAGGGCGTGCAGACCAGCAGAGTTGGGAAGGTTAAAGGGAGGTAGGAGGTATATAAATGGGGTGTGTGGGGGCTCTCTTCTGATCTGTGACAGGCTTGGGGCAGGATGTTGCCTCTGAACCCACCAGCCCCACTTCCTGTGACAGGAAGTCACAATGGCAAGTCCCCCAACCCCCAACTCTCTCCGCATAAGAAAACAAACTCTGAACCCTTCTCCCTCAAGGACCAAGAGTCCCCCAACCCAGGAGTTCTTTCCCTCGAGGACCTGACATATTTCTGGCTTTCAGCCTCACAAC